AGCCTCCCAAAGTGCTGGAATTATAGGTGCAAGCCACTGCACCTGGCTTGTTTATTTATTTTTAATTTAGTTTTTGAATAGGCAATGCAGTCTTATGATTCAAAAACTTGAAAGTGGCCGAGCGCAATGGCTCATGCCTGTAATCCCAACACTTTGGGAGGCTGAGGAGGGTGGATCCCCTGAGGTCAGGAGTTCGAGACCAGCCTGGCCAACATGGTGCAACCTGGTGTGTGACACAGGCGTGTGACACCTGTAGAGACCTGTAATCCCGGATATTTGAGAGGCCGAGGCAGGAGAATCATTTGAACCTGGGAGGCAGAGGTTGCAGTGAGCCAAGATCGTGCCATTGCACTCCAGCCTGGGCAACAGAGTGAGAGTCTGTCTTAAAAACAAAGAAACTTGAAAGTACAATAGGATGTACAGTAAAAAGCTTCTTGCTCATCCTTGTCCCTCATCTGCCAAGACATCTGCTTTACTACTTTTCTTAGTTTATGTGTGGACATGAAAGCAAATGTGAGTATAAACTTTTAGCCCAAAGACAGAATACTGTAAAAACTTTATACCAAAGACAGAATACTGTAAAAACTGCTCTACATATTGTCCCCTAGGCTGGAGTGCAATGGTGTGATCTCAGGTCACTGCAACCTCCACCTCCTGGGTTCAAGCGATTCTCCTGCCTCAGCCTCCCAAGTAGCTGGGATTACAGGCATTCACCACCACGCCTGGCTAATTTTTTTTATTTTTAGTACAGACGTGGTTTCACCATGTTGACCAGGCTGGTCTTGAACTCCTGACCTCAGGTGATCCACCTGCCTTGGCCTCCCAAAGTGTTGCGATTAAAGGTGTCAGCCACCACACCTGGCCTACACTTACTGTATTTCAGAGTTTTTGTTTGTTGTTTGTATTTTGACATGGAGTCTCGATCCTGTAGCGCAGGTTAGCATGCAGTGGCGTGATCTTGGCTCACTACAATCTCTACCTCCTGGGTTCAAGCGATTCTCCTTCCTCAGCCTCCGGAGTAACTGGGATTACAAGTGTGTGTTGCCACGCCTGGCTAAATTTTGAATTTTTAATAGAGATGCGGTTTCACCATGTTGGCCAGGCTGGTCTCAAACTCCTGACCTCAAGTGATCCACTCGCCTTGGCCTCCCAAAGTGCTAGGATCACAGGTGTGAGTCACTGCGCCCAGCCTCAGAGTTCTTTTTAAATCAGTACAAAGAGAACTGTCTCTCCCTCTTGTTGTTAACATCTGCATGGAGTTTCGTTGGATGAATATGTAAACATTTACTGAGCCAGTTCCTATTGATGGTCATTTGCATTGTTCTTAATCTTTTGCAGTCACAAACAGTGCTGCATTGAGTAACCTTGTACTTATGTCATTTTCCATGAATGCAAGTATATCTGTGGAATGAATTCCCTAAACTTTAATTGCTCACTTAGGGGTAAATGAATTTATCATTTTGATAGCTATTGCTGAATTACCTTCCAAAGAGTTTTTATATCAGCTTACATTCCCATCAGTAATACATGAAAATGTCTGCTTCCCAACATCCTTACCAACAGAATGTGTTATTCAACTTTTAGATTTGTGCCAATCTTGTAGGTAAAAGATGCTATCTTAGCATAGTTTTAATTTACATTTCTTTAATTTTGAGTGAAATTGAGCATCTTTTCACATGACATGTAGACTCTTAATGTACAAAATTTCCTGTTCATTCAAAGAGTGACATCCTTGCCAGCACTTAGAAAGCTGGAGTGAGCCCAGACTTCACGCTTTCTGGAACCCAGACCAGAATTACGAAGTACCTTAGAAGTCATTTAGTTCAGTCCTTGTCTAATGCCTAAATGATGTCTCTGCCTTCCCCGGTAGAATTATTCAGAGTTAAGTAGTTCATAAAATTGAAGCCATCTTTATGTGGGTCTAAAAGTTAGAAAGTTTTCATATTGAGCCAAAATCTTCTTGTAATTTCTGCATGACAGTAATTACAGTATGCTCTTGTTAAAGTATACTATTCTCTTATATTACAATAAGTATACCACAGAGAAATAATATTGGCTTCAAATATCAGTAGCACACTGAACTTCTTCCTTGTTTATATTACATCTGACTTATATGTAGTCAGAGGGAAAAATATATTAAATATTGTTTTCATCACACATAGAAATCAAATTTAAAATGTAATTGCCACCGATGTAGTATTTTGGCTAAAAATGTATAACCTGAATCTCACTGTGGGGAAATCTCAATATTAAATTGGAAGACATTCTACAAAAGAACTGGCTTGTACTATGACAAATATTAATATCGGCCGGGTGCAGTGGCTCATGCCTGTAATCCAGCACTTTGGGGGGCAGAGGCTGGTGGATCACCTGAGGTCAGGAGTTCGAGACCAGCCTGGCCAACATGGTGAAACCCCGTATTACTAAAAATACAAAAATTAGCCAGGCATGGTCATGTGTGCCTGTAATCCCAGCTAACCAGGAGGCTGAGAAAGGAGAATTACTTGAACCCTGGAGGCAGAGGATGCAGTGAGCTGAGATTGGGCGACAGAGCAAGACTTTGTCTGAAAAAAAAGAAAGAAAAATGTAATGTCACGGAAGACAAAGAAAGCCTAAGGAGCTGGTCTAGATTAAACGAGACTAAAGAGATGTTCTCTGAGGTGGGAGGATCTGTTGAGCCCAGGACTTTCAGACCAGGCTGGGCAACATACTGAGACCGTGTCTCTACAAATAAAAATAGAAATAGATGGGCATAGTGGTGTAGGCTTATAGTCCCAGCTACTTGGGAGGCTGAGTCAGGAGGATTGCTTGAGCCCAGGAGTTTGAAGCTGCAGTGAGCTGGAATTACGCCAATGCACTTCAGCCTGGGAGCAAGACCCTGCCTCTAAAAGAAAGAAAGAGAGAGAGAGAGATGCCAGTTAATTGCAATCTGTGATCCTGAATTGGATTCTAGATCAAGGAAGAGGGAAAAATGCCATAAAGAATATTACTGGGACAATTGGCAAAATATGAATACAGATTATATTTCAGATAATATCGTTACATCATCAATACATTTTCTGATTATTGAGCTGTGATCATGTAAGAGGCTGTGTTTGCTCCTAGGAAATACACGCTGAAGAATTTAGGGGGAAAGGAACATGGTGTCTGCAGTTTACTCCCCAAATGGTTAAAAAAAATAAAAAAGGCCGCGTGCAGTGACTTACATCTGTAATCGCAGAACTTTGGGAGAATGAGGTGGGAGGGATTGCTTAAGCCCAGGAGTTCGAGACCAGCCTGGACAACATGGCAAAACCGTGTCTAGGCCAGATGTGGTGGCTCATGCCTGCAAACCCAGCACTTTGGGAGGCTGAGGCAGGTGGATCACCTGAGGTCAGGAGTTCGAGACCAGCCTGGCCAACATGGTGAAACCCCATCTCTACTAAAAATACAA